GGCCTCCGTCCACGAATCCCCCTTGTCACCGGACTCGTACACCCTGCGGTGGCCATCATCACACGCAGTCATCATCATGAGCTTGTCCTTCCACTCCACGACGGAGGGATCACTGCAGCCACCGTCAGACATCCCCTTCGACAGCTTCCAAACTTTAGTATCCTTCGAGTGTAGGATCAGCGAGACATTGTTATTTTTGCCATCCTCTTTTGCCCCGACCTTCTCCTTCACTGCCTCCACTGGGAACACAAGCGTACCGTCCTCCATCTGAACACCCGATCCACCGCTGCCAATCAACCCCGTCAAGGATCCGCCATGTTCACCAAGAAAAGTGCACGGGATACTGAGAGTATCATTCCAATGGATTCGTTTGTTAATTTCATCCTCAGTGACTTTCCCTTTCGCCAGCAAAAGTCCCCATGCAGCCACGCCAGACGATTCCAATTGACAAGTAAGGACATTTTCACTGATGTAGATTCCAGCAAGCATGTAAATGTCATTTCCCTTCACAACCGTTGTTGGCCGGCCCACATGTACTTTCTTAATGCCTTGGGAATCTGCGTGTTTCGCTGTATGGGAAGGGCAGTTCCCTCCATCGGAAGGACATTTATCCAGTAATTGCGTCTTTACATTAGCTTTATCGAGGGATTTTGGGGTTTTATCTTCCAAATTCAGGAACTCCGAGGCAATCCCAGTAAAAAGGCATTCATCATTACTGCACTGCGCCTCCGCAACGGCAAACACATCACCCTTCATCTCAACAAGACTGGGGAACATAGAGAAAACTCACCTTTTCTTCTTCTTTCTTATCTCTCCAATCAAAATATTCCCCTGGTTGAGATCCAGGACATGACTTTGGTTTCTTAGGTTCCGCAGCCCCATCAGTGTTGCTGCAGCAAAACATCGCGACGACGAGAAGCAGCACCGCGGAAATAAACACACGCCGGGACATGTTGGGCCTCTGCGGCTCACTCTCTCTTCTTTCCCTCCTCCTTCCGCTGGATCCGGTCACGCAGCGACGGTTGTGTGTGCGGGGTGCCTTCACTGCAGCAACACGTGAGTGCATGTAAATATGTGTGTGGGCGGTGTGTGTGCTGTTGTTCCTTTCAGAGACGTCAAATTCCACAGTGGCGATTCGCGTTTGGTATTAACTTCCTTCGTAGCCTGAGTGTGTTTGTGTGCAAGAAATCAAAGTAAAATCTAAAAAGCACCAAAACAGAACGTGGCAGAGGAGTGGGTGGCGCCACCATCCACAGTGTAACGCATCCGCTTCGTCGTAACCGCCACAGTAATTACTCTCACCGTCCACAACGGCCCAAGCACTGTGAGGCCACACACAGAAGCAGAGTCATTGACGGTTGCGCACGGGCCAAGACGCCCTCCGGCAAACAGCACCAACCAACAGACAGCCAGCAGAAATTAAAGGCGAGCAAAATCCCAAGTGCTGCGGGATCCTTGCAAGCAGCGCTCCCTGATCGCAGGGCCTTTAAAGCGTTCCTCGCTGCAACATCCCCCACCACCCCCTCGGCGTGTCGGTGGATTTTCCCGTTCACCGGAAGAAAAACGGCGGGATGCTTCGGCAGTGGTCGAAGACACACAGAGTGCGCCGTCGATGCGATCAACGAGCGCAGACCCTCGTGAAGTGCGATCCCACAACTGCGATCCCTCCATTTACTCTCCTGGACGTGGAGGAGGCATGAAACGTCCTCTTCTCTACAGTAGTCCTGAAACGCAAAAAAAATCCGTAGGACATCCCGCGCAGCCACGGCCTCCTCAGCAGCCTGACAGTCCACGCCGTCGCATCGCTCCTCAAGAGGTCGCCAGGCCCGGTAAGGCAAGCAAAAGGGGACCAGCAATTTGTTAAAGACGTTCAGAAAAGTGAGGCGCAGCAGTCGGGTGAGTGCGGCTCATCCACGTCCTCCGCCTCAACAGACCCACCACACAGTCGAATCACACACCCGAAAGGAGCCGTGGCGTCTGACAAAATAGCACGGCCAATAGCACCTCGTGCTCTCCCCAATGTAGTGTCGTGGCACACACGAAGCATCACAGGAAGGGCCACATAATTGCATCCCATCGGCATAAGCACGGAAATAAGGCACATAATTTGCCCCAGTGAACTCCCATCCAAATCGTCTCAGCCACAGAGCTTGTGTCGCCAACCCTCAGGAAGGGCTGATGCATCAACTGCCGCTGAACGATCCCCCGGCGATGAAACAAAAAGAGCCACCGTCTCTCAAGGTTCGTCATCACCCTTTCCTCCATTGAGGGAAAAACAGCAAGGTGACGGTGTGGGCGTGTCTAGCTGAAAGAAATGAAGGAAGTGGCTCCAGCCGTGAAACAAATTAAACGGATCCTCCTCCCGAATCCTTTCAAAGAGACCGGTCGGTCAGCCGCCGAGGTTGACGGCGCGGAGGACAACACCTTGAATGTGTGGAGCACCGCAGCAACCTGAATTTATTCTGCAATATCCGCGGTCAGTTCATGAAAGTACAAAGAAGGGACAGCAAATTCAAGGGGGCGTGTGAACCTGTCAGTGATCACCCGCGCCGGAGGATCGCCACCTCCACCCTCCAAAGGCACCTCAACGACGTCAAATATTTCCACCGCATGGCACCCACAACACAATCGCGTGGCATAAACTACCGCCTTGCAGCACCCCGTGCAGTGCGGCAATCAAAAACCGTCTCGAACACGGCGTGCGACAAAGGTACCGAAAGAAGGTGCAGCAAATACCCTCCACATCTCAGCAGTTCCAATCATCCAGTAAAAGACAGGAGCACCAGACAGTACCCATGGACTCACCAAATATGGCATCAAAAGGCAGCGAGATGCTAGATGCCGAAAGGCTCGCATTTCTTCCCCCCTGACACTTCCACGGATGAATGCAACTGCCGTGCCCTGCGGCCTCTCGACCCCTTCGAGACAACGTTGCAGCCACATGGCGACGGCTCAATGTGGCTGGCGATCAGATCCAGTCGTCGCAGCAAAACAGTACAGAAAGTAGGGTGGTGGGCCCGCACATTCGCCTCGTTGATGCCTGCCCCCACCGCAAGAGTAAAACTCGTCTTCCCAACAGCCGCGCTTCGGGTGGCTGAAACACCTGCCCTCACGCCGGCGATGACATCTGCAAGCGCCTGTAATTCCTCAACACCGCCCGTCAAAAAAAAAAAAAAAAACCGGCGCTCAAACCCTGCAGCCACACATCCCTCGTAACCATCTGCAAACTCGTTGTCCTGCAGAAACACCCGAACAACATAACAAGAAGGCCGTGCATTGCTGGCAAGGGACAATAACACGTTGCTTTCATCCTTCAACGGAGGATTATGCCTCCTGCGTAACGCGGCCACAAGTACGCGGTGCGCCAACACCGAAGCGGTGGGCATTTTGCTCCATGACCCTCCCCCTCCACAGGGGCCCAAGAAGTGCAACAGACCATCCTCTCACCAAAGAAAAGGCCGAATGGAGCGAACACTGCAGTGTGCGGACCACCCAGCAGAAACACCCTCAGAGGACGAATGCTCTTGAATGTCCTTCAGAATGGGCCAGCGGGTTGGCCGTGAAGTCAACAGACACCGGAGAGCCACCTGCTCTGCACGCATCCAATGACGCAATTGGGAGCGCAATGTTGCAGTGCACATCAACCACCCTGTTCTCGTCTCCGTCTGTGCCGGCACGACGGTCCTGCCATCGCCCTTCGCCCTCACAAAGTATTCCACAGGGTCCTTTGAACCAGAGACAACCACACGGCAATATTCCGCCGGAGGAGTGCTCTCCATACCGCACAAAACAAAATTTTCCCAACGTCGAGGACCGCAGTGAAAACGGGCATAACGATGAGCAACACGAGGGTTCTCTGTGCCCTAATTCATCACAACACTCTATCCTCCGTTGGTTCAGGCCTCTGCCACACGACGAGGCACAGATGTAACGTCACTTACACGCAACAGAGTGAAATCCGCAAGAACATCGTCATACAGGACGCAACAACCACCAGCCCACTCAGCAGCCGTTGTGGCCATATTCCGCGAAACATGATCCACGCCCACAGAGAACTTGTTGTCCGGTTGCACAAACAGTTGATGGGCCAAGCAACGTGGGCCCAAGAAAGACGGCACCAGTCGATATTAGGCCTTGAAGCCGCCAGTGAGAGCCATTGATTGGAATAAACACCAAAGCCACCAACGGCCAAAAAGAACTGCGACAAGGCACTCGTACTTCAAACAAAGAACGGATTCGTCTCGTCCAGGAAGAAGAAATAATAAATAATATTTTTCCTCCTCACAGTGCCTTTCAGCAATGAAACACCATCATGCGATCCGCCCTTATCGGCATTACTCAGGAGCACAAGACATGTGCAATGTGTAGAGGGCTCTGCAATCAGGCGGATGAGAGATGCTCCACGGTGGCACTCAGACTCCTTCCGGGCCAAGCATCAACCAGTCGTGAGCGGCATGCCTCTTCATGGACTCTCCGTTTTGGTACCAACCGAGACGGAAGGCCTTCGTCGCTCAGCACCAACCCCGCGTTGCGTCGTGTCGTCAAATAAAACAAGTGAGGATGGCAGAGCGCATCATCGGGGAAATCGCCCTCAAATGTGGGAAACAGCATCGCACCCGCCGGAAAAAGGTGCGCATGATGTCCCTCCACGTCAGCCGCGCAGCCTGTCAGGTGAAGGAAAACTTGTTAAAAAGGAAGTCAGCGCACTCACCTCCACCCCAGGCAGTTTTTTCAGGAGAATCGAATCATCAATTCGGGGGCTCCACACTTCTTGAGGGATATTGTGACCCTCTGACACGTCCACGTGCATGCCCACACAATGTCCTATTTTCTTTCCCTCCTCTGCATGCGCCCGCATCGTCTCTTAAGCCCCATCCAGGACAGATTAGGTAGCGAGTGG